CTACGATGAACGAATGAATGAATGATTAGGAGGCCCATCTCGTTACCTGAAGGTCCTACATTTCACGCCTAGTGGGGAGGTGGGTGCATACGTCTAAAGGGCCCAAGTTTATAAAATTAACATACAACCGAACACCTGAAAACCTACAACCAGTCTTCATATTGTTTAAAATGAATTATTGAGCTTCTTCAAAGACACTAAGGATAAAATTCAATCAAAAATGTTTTCAAAGCAGGAACCAGTTACAGGACGAAGTGTAACACGTTATTCTTCTTTTTTTAACTAGATTACAGATTATAATCTTAAATGATTTATGCAATGGACTTATGTGAAGTACATTTGCCTGACAGTACTCTGTAACCGAAATACATGCATTCCGCAAACTACTTCACATTATATTGTAACAAAAATTTTAAAAAGTCTGCCCTTTGGGAAAAAGAATAGTAGTAATAGTAATCTAATCAACTGTAAATTATCATCTGTAAGAAAACTTTTTGTTTTAAATAAAAACAATAAACAAAGAGGCCTGAACACATTAAGCGACTTTTGCCATTTCATTTCACCTTACCGACTTTTATTAAATCAAAAGTTTTAATTAAAATGTACTTCTATAAAAATTTATATTTCAAAAATGTATTTTAAGATAAACCGCGTGACAAAACAAAGTGAAAAACTACCAGCATCAGTCACGAGTAAAGTTATAGTTGTACTGCTGTTTAAGGCTGTTTTTTGCATTTCATGATGGTTTTGTCTCATTTCTAGTTTAAATATTGTTTTTTACATATTTAAATGTTTTAACGGTTGCTGAATTCTTAGCCAAACTGTAACGACATCGAAAACATTTTGTTGATCTTTTTATACTATTTATAAATTATTTAGTAGTTCAAATTTGTTTGCGAAAATTATGTGGGGGCTCGAAAATTCCTATTGAATTTTATTACTATTATTCACTTAAATTCTTTATGAATATTTCAAGTGTACTCTCCATTTGTGCATCGCTTTAACTGTTCTCCAGATTCCATGAGATCTGAGGCACCTTCCCGCTATATATATCAGTTTCCAAGCCATCAATCTGAGTTGCTTTTTGTCGCGGATAAGCTATAAGTGATGTGGGCTCAGAATTAGTGCAACGACGAGTAAGATATAATTCTAAATAAGAAAGCTTATTTGACATAACACACGGTGAGTAGTACTGTGTTAATGATTGGATGCTTGCAATCCTATCAGTATATATTCACACGACTTCCTAACTTCCTTTATATTGCTTCAATCCCTACTGTTGTTTTTGCTGCAATATTCCATGTAGCTGGTACGGCCGTTGAGTTATTTTGACTAGATATGTTTGGTATTGATTTGATGAACAAAGATATTGGCTGATTAACCTCCCTCTCCGTCTAACTGTATAACTTTTTAATACTCTCATCCTGTTCCACCCACCCTATTTTGTGGTTATTTGAAAGTGAACGCTTGTGATGACCGAGGGTTCTTCCAAATTATTTCACTTATCAGGGTCATTCATCTGAACTCAAGCTAAATTCCTTTGCCAAATTACTCTTATTCATTACAGTCAACCATTTCAACCTATGTAATTGATCTTACAATCACTGAATGGTGCTGAGTAAATTATATTATTTTACTTAAGTAGATCTGCTGGGTCCTTAAGCTCACAAAAGTGATCTCTGAACGAATTGGTCGACTTGAATGGCATCCTAATCCCAGCCTTATTAAGAATCCAACAGAAACAGTCTGGTGTTCATTCTTCATATGGCTGAACAATCGTAAACATCTTATCTCATTTCAAATTCTTAATGTGAGTATTTACACCTTTTGTTTAAATTCACTCGCACGACATGGTTTCTTAAAAATCATATATATTCAAATGTTGGTTTCCAGGGATTTGATTTGATTGGTTACAGGATTTCATCATGAGCTGATGTCTTCTAGAGATCTATTGAAAAACCAGCACTGAAGTCCTGGACAGCTGTTTCGTTTGCAGGGCGAGGTCCTGGGTTCGTTTACGATGGATGCGTACTTTTGAAGAATCCATAACTAGCCTGACGGAACAGCTGGCTGTCTAGTACTCCAGTGCTACTTTTCTAATGGTTCTATAGTAAATTTCATCTCACAATTAAACCCTGTAACCAGTAACATATATATAAGACTTAAACTTCATAATAAACTCGGAGAAAATGAGTCTGTTTTCTGAAATACTGTTAATTGGGTAAAATTGTGTTTTTAAATTTTATATTACTTTTACTTTATTTAAGTAGGTTAAAATGTATTGAGGAATTTACTTCAAGTTTCAATTCCAACGTTAATTAAATAAATTTCCTTTAAGTTATAAAGAACTTCCTCATGTCAGACCGACATACTGAAGCATTACCAACTCTAAGCATTTGGAAAAATACGAAATAATAATGTAAAAATTGTCATAATTTAAGACAGTATGGTTCAGTAATTAGTATGTGGCCTGCTTATTGTCACCTGGGATGAAAACAAAGAAATATCACCGGGAGATTTGTGGGGATTTCACTTAGTTTAATTATAGTTGATAGATTTTGCTACGAACTAGAAATATTTGGGGAGATCACTGAAAACTACGAAACACTGGCCATTGTTTCGTTCTATTTTTGGGGGACTCTCCAACAGCGCAAACCCACGACCTTGTCAAGGTTCGAACCTGGGACCTTCAGTTTACTAGTCCAAGCTCGTTGACTTTTTAGTCACTTAAGATGGATTTTAATTACCTAGAATCTGACAGCTGAAATAAATTTAACGCATATTCCCGTAAATCTTAGAATGTAAGTATCAATCTACAGCTCATTGACGGCTATTGGATGGATGCCCTGAAGTTATGGTCCACGGGTCACTGATTTCCGGACGAAGTGGTTGAATAATCAACCAGCTTGGTATTGTTTAACTTAAGACCCCACGTTCAACTCCTGTCAGGTTAGTAGGTGCATACCGATGGAGGGTTTAAAAATAGGATGAAAAAGCCTTCCAGTGACCATTATTTTCTAATGATCTCTCTAACAGATGTACATTCATGACGAGACCCAAAAAGTGAAATTAAATAGAAATATCAGAGGAGAAATATGTAATTTTAAAAGACGGATTATTGAACAAAGAATATTCTTATTTATTTATTTATTTATTATTTAAATAAATAGTATTAAGTGCTAGCTGGCACTCACTAGTCAGCAAGGCTCTTCTGCAGTCACCTTGAAGGAATTCATGTCCCTTCCGAGATTTGGACCCACGTCACGCAGTACCTCCTGAGGTCAAAGACGTTACCACTGCATATGATAATGATAATAATAGTAATAATACTCACCGAAGACACTGACTAGCGGTCGCGCTATGTTGTGAATTGGCAAAAGTTAGAATTCATGAATTGACCATTAGATCGGTTCCCAGTGAGTGGCTTGATGGTCTACGAGCTAGCTCGCTCGCCCTATAACCAGAAGGACCTGGGTTCAAACCCTGGCAGTGGGGTGGGTGCGTACTGCTGATGAGTTAGTCCCGAACTGGATTGGTGAAACAACTGGCTCTCCAGTACTCCCAGGTGGTTTTCCAATAGTTCTCTAACCAATGTCAGTTCATGATGAAATCCTGTAATTAATCAATCAAATCGCTGCAAACCAATACTTGAATATTCTTTTCGACAACACCTTCTTCATCAGGTTCTGCAGTTATATGTAGCCATAATGATGGAAGAATTAGGGACATTAACAACATTAATGTTGTTTAAATAACATCGAATCAATAATATCAATTTCTACACTTCCGGTGAGTTGTGATTTCTCAACTGAAAGATGAAGCATCTAGGTTAACTACCTCTTCGTGTATCTATCAATTCAACTGTGAGTGTAGAACCAGCTTTTTTGGCCACTGCTGTAGAAACTTGATTTTTCGTGCTCTCTCAGGAACACCACCTACCAGTGTGGCTAAATAAAGGTAGAGGTAGGGTTGGTTTTCCAATGATTCTCTAACCGATGTCAGCTCATGGTGAAACCCTCCAACCAATTAAAAGTGAGAAATGAAATTTTACCCTAGTCACACTGTAACGATAGAAGACCGAAGACTTGTTAAAGAAACGTCTACTTGCAATTTGGTATCTCTATATAAAGCTAAATTGTGTACAGATTATCTTCAATGCATCACTTGCACAGATCTTCCGCTGTGTTCTGCTACTTAGCCCCCCCCTTCGTATTGTGTGTGTGTGTGTGTTTCTTTGTGTTCCTTTCACATCGTCTCCCATGTATCTCTGTAACTATGTATCATTTTCTTTCTCTGACATCAAATCTATCTCCCTGCTGTTTGATATTTCTGTTTATATACTACTGGTCAAACTTATCAGTAGCATACGCCGACAATACTACTTTCTTTTTCTTCATGAACTTATTTTTTTTCTTCTTCTCTTCTTACAGACTGACATGAACCTTCAACACATAGCCTATCCTGGAGTTCGTTGCGATTCTAATCCTACTATGATACTTCAGTGAACTTTTTGTATATATCTACGATTTGTCCGACATCACTAAAACTAATATATTATTATTATTAACAATATGGTGACGAGAACTACCTATCATACTGTTATTAATAATAATAATACTAGTACTAGTACTAATAATAATAACAATAATAAGCCTTATCAACATCCACTTTCATACTTCGCGCCTAATCCCGGCTATTTTAAACAACAATGGAGAAGTTATCAAAATTTAGGAAGCATTTTACCGCTTAATCGACATGTATCAGATCAATGCATAAATGGAGTAATTATGAGTGGTTCGTGTAGAAATCTTGCCAAGAAACGATGCGATATTACCATTCTAATTAATAATGACAACATGAATGATAGTGGTAATAATAATAATAACAATTGTAATTACAATAATACTAACAGCACTAATCACAATAGTAGTAACTATAGTATTAATAGTACAAATAATAATTTCACCGAGCGATCAGATAGGCCTATTTTATCAAATGCTATGCTTGAAAATGCACAAAATAAACATTTTGTATTTAGGGGAAATTCTTCTACTACTATTATGCCAAGGTTAGCATTATTCAATGAAAGATTACGCTCTGCCTCTTTACCACCTGCATTCTCATCTCAACCAATAGGAATAGGCAATTATCATCTAACAGCAAAACGATCAATAATTGCCAATACAGGGGGGAATGCTTCACCCTTATTGGTTAATTCAGCGTGTTATTCCCCCTATGCGTGTCCCACCTACGCATGTCAACATGATGGTGCAGATTGGGAAGACTGTCGTATTAGTATAGACTGTTTTGGTATTAAAGCGTCTAAGTGTAATTATGCAAGACGCCTACAGGGGGAAAATTGCACCAATTACCAATATGATGGTAATACAACAACAACTGTATGGGATGGATTACAAAGCACCAAATATTATTTACGCCTACCAGTAAAATTGCCTACCATTCGTATAGAAGAGAAAAAGTTGCCACAAGCAGCAGCACATCAATCAATAAAATCGCATAGTTTATCAGCTAGATCTGTCCGTCTATCTATTATCCCGTTGAATCCAATCTACAAAAAGCGAAGGTCAACACAGGCAACAGTGAAACGTAGATTGTGTAGAAATAACAATCAACAGTCGACAAGAGGTAAACCAACTACAGAAACAGAGAGAACAAATTGGATTAGCGCAGTTGATTTAAACACTTGTCGAACAACTCTTCGTAATTGTTGGCGTAAAAGTTTAATACAAAGAATGGTAGGTTATATTATTTGTTTAAAGGTTGTGTTTAAATGTTTATTAATCGATTAATTTTGCCGTTTTCACACATCATTCGTGTTCCATTTTTTTAAATAAATTTCTAAATTGATCTGGATTTGTAGAGAAAGGTATATTATATATAGAGAGAGTAGCTAGTCAACTCATCTAATTTCTTGCACACTCGACAAGAGCTAACACACCAATGACTTTGGAACTATCAACTGGAGCGAGACCGTGAAACTAGATCAATAAAACTATCTTCGTGAGGAAGAAAAGGGTTGAAGTGTGACATTTTCCAACAGAATATGCGATTAGTGTCGTAGGGGCCTGAATTTTCCTTCTAAAATCATTAGTGCATATGTCCAAACCAAGTTAACTTCTAACAGTTTTAAAAAATTTGAGCATTGGGTATTTGATATTCATTATAACAAAGGTTTTCTTGTATTTCCCAATGAATGAAAAATAAAACGATATTCGTGTTGTGTTTTACTGACATTTCGCTAGTTAATACTGCTCCAAATAGCTTTATCAAAGTAGTAGTATTATTAAACCAGAATTTACAAAATCCACTCAGCTCATATATAACAACTTAATCATCGTTCCTCAGTATGGGGTCATTTTTGTGTTGTCAAGTTGGCCAACTGGTAAAGATAACAAAACCAGGTGTAGATTGTTGGATTTGATAAGTGTGTAAAATTATAAAAGCGGCGTGTGTTTACATAGTGAAACTGCTTATCACGTCCGTGTTGATTTTGTCATTTCATGGGCTACCGGTGGGGGTTTTGTAACCGGGACAAATTCTGTTTTAGTCCATCATTCATATTCAGTTCAGACAATTTGAATTCCATTTGATATGAAGTGCTTCTGATGATGTGAGACGTCCTTTGTGATTTCTGAAATGCTTTTTCTGAATTATTTCAGTATTGTCAAAATCAATTTTGTGGTCTGAATCTATAGCGTGATGATTTTTCAAGCTTTTCTAGTCCAACTGGATTTCTCTGTGGTCAAACAGATGCTCTGCGATGCTCATTTCTGATTTTGATTTCGCTCTAGAGATGTTTGTCGATTGTGTATCGCATCACATTCCAAGCATTTTATTTTATAGACACAATTAGATAGAGAATCTTTGGGGATTTGAACTTTTACATGGACAAGGTTGCTTTGTAGTGTGTGCGTGTCTGATGTTTTGAAGAAAACTCTGATGTCGAGCTTATTGAGTACTCTTCTGATAGCGTCTGACGTTTCTGATGGTCTATATGGAACGACAACTGTTGAGGTCCATGTCTTCGGAATACGTGTTTTCGACCATATTTAATATCAGTGTTGATTTTGTTAATGAAGTTATTTGGGTAGTTATTTTGCTTGAGAGTCTCAGTAATGTTTGATATTTCTTCCTCTTCTTTTTCCTTCTGATCTATCAGCATCAAAAAGTGCTGTCGCCTAAGAAGACTTGAAACAACTGATACTTTTGTGCTGCCTGGGTGTGATGATCCGAAGTTTAAATATTTATTGCAGTGGGTTTTCTTCCTGAATATGGATATACTAAAATGTCCGTTTTCCCTCCTCTTAACTAAGAAGGCAGTTTAGAAATGGTAGTGGGGCATCTTAGTTGCCCAAAGTTTAATTTTGTCGGTCACCTAACAGACACATAGCTGAGTTCTAAGCTTCATAAGTATTCCATTCACCACATCTACAGTATGCCCAGTATTGATTAAAAGACGGATAGAAATGACCTTGTCATTGATTTTACCGCATCTGTCTTATCCAACTGTAGTCTACACTTCCTTGTCTCTGGCAAACCTTTCATATGTTCATTTTATTCGTTGGTTAAACTGTGATTTCGACTTAATTCGACTATACTGAGGTATTTATAATGTTAAGATAATTCTATTATTGATTTTATTATTATTATTAGTAGTAGTAGTAGTATTAGCTTTATTATAGTTACTACTATGACGTCTCACTTCCCTCCAGTTACCATCTAGAAAAGATTCTCCCCCACCCCACCCCCCACACACACCTCACGTTGAATTGTACTCACACTACCGGTTTAAAACATGTCTCTTAGTTTCAACAATCACAGCTTACTCTAAATCACAAACTCCACTCAGTTAAGATGAACACAAAGTGCTTCATTCATACGCACATACACACTCAATCCCTTGTCCATCCCAAACACATAAACAGACTCGCACAAACACACACCAGCACACAAGTTTGTAGCCTATCAACCAAGTGTACTCAACCTAAGCCTTTCAATCACCAGCACTCACTTATATATATTTAATATTCAAGTATTGGTTTTGTAGGGATTGTTTTTTATTGGTCGGAGGATTTCATCATGAGTTGATATCAGCAAGAGAACCACTGGAAAAGCAGTACTGGACAGTCGTTTCATCAGACTAATTTGGGACTCTTCAGCAGTACGCACCAACTGGTGTTCGAACCCAGGACAGAAGTTAGAATTCATGGGCTGGCCAATGGATAGTTTCCTAGTAGCTTAGTGGTCTACGAGCTCACCTTTTTACCAGAAGGTCCTTGGTTCGAACTCTATTGGTGGGTTCGTACTAGGCTGACGAAACAGCTATCCGGTACTCCTGCGTTTTCCAATATATCTAATAGCGTGAAATATTCCCATATCATGAATTAGAAGTCAATCTGAACGAAGAATATTCTTTTCAATACATCCTTCTCTTAAGGTTCTTACTATTATGAAATATAATATACTTGTCGTTACAATAATGATAGCCAGTTAGTTATGCGGTTGTGGATACATTTCTACGTAGAACAACGGTCCAATCAATCGATGGGACAATCTAAAATTCAATTAAATGATTAATATGACCCATAATGGATAAGAATTTATTTTGATAAATCACACAGTGTAGTACAGTTATATTAACTGATGACGTTTCGAGCACAAACTATTGCTCATAATCATATCAAGTTACTCACACAACTTCTTTCCTTCATTTATATACATGTGTGGAATCGACTAGATATGAATGAGCAATAGTTTGTGCTCGAAACGTCATCAGTTAATATAACTGTACTACACTGTGTGATTTATCAAAATAAATTCTTATCCATTATGGAATTATACTCTACCACAGTTCCCAAGATTTATACTTATATCATTAATATGACCCGTTGAACAAGAGCCAGGGTGGCTCTCGTAGCCCAAGTGGTCTAGTGGATAACGCTTTGTCGTTTGAAACTATGGTCACTGGGTTCGAGCCACGGTGGGGACATCACCACTGATCCACTGGGGAATGCAGGTACATCCTCTGGCGAAATGCGCATCCTGGATTCTACTACTGCTAGTCACTATCCACCAATTAGATTCTAATTACATGCCCAGACATCGTCGAAGCATCTGCACAAGAAGCTGACATGTCAACCTGAGCAGACCGAGCACTTCGGTCCAATCAATCATTGGAGGGGAAAATCTAAAATTCAATTAAATTTGATTTCTATTTTCCTTCACAGATTCAATCTTCTTGAATACTTTTGAGTACATGAATAATGGCCTGATTAGTAATTCCAGGTTGTGGCGTTTATTTTCACCTTCATACAGAATATGTCATCTGCACCGCATGCTCTCATAGTTTTTCTCGTCACTCATATAACCCTGGACGATAGTAGGTTGTTCTTTTGTGTTTTACCCATTAACTCTGCCCTGATGACGCCAGTTTGTTTTTATTCACAATTGATTCTTGAAAGTCAACTTTTGACGAACGTTGACTTTGGCTGTGATAGTTTAACCTCACCGCGTATAGTATAGCAAACATCACAATACATTATGATTCCAGCTATTTAAAAAAATATATAGTTGATAAAAACACTTTCAAAAATAGCCAAACGTAACATCTGATATGATAACAACATTGAAATTCCTCTAAGTATGCAATATAAAATCATATAGGACCAACAACCTTAGGTAGTTCAGGTCGTAATCGATCTCCCCTCTTCTATCCATTCAAGCAAGCAGAAACCAAAAAGAGATAAATTATCTTCTCAAGTATTGGTTTTGTAGGGATTTTGTTTGATTGTATGGAGGATTTCATCATGAGCTGACACATCAGTTAGAGAACCATTGGATTGGAACCAACTGGGATTACTGCACAGCTGTTTCGTCTACGGGCTTGCTTTGTAACCAGTGGGTGCGTACTGCCGAAGAGTCACAAACTAGGCGGGCGAAACAGCTGTCCAGTACTCCCAGTGCTGGTTTTCCAGTGGTTCTCTAACTGATGTGTCAGCTCATGATGAAATCCTTCATGCAATCAAATTATCTTTTCACAGATACTTCAAATTCGTGTATTTCAAATAAAATTCTCACTTAAATAATCAAATATTTTCAAATGTCTTTTCAAGAGTTGGTTTTTCTTTTTTGATTAAGGCTCTACAAATCAACTCTTGAAAAATAATCTGACACTTGCTAGTGACTAGCTACAGGATGGGGTTTCCTGGAGTTCTAGTGAGAAGTCGTGATTAGTGGGGTCCATCCCATCGAGAAGGAGGACAAATGCTCGCCAGCGATGCCAGTGGCTTGTGTCGCCAGTCGCACTAAAATCACAAATTGGTAGAAGTTAGAATTCATGGGTTGGTCATTGAGGAGTTGGGTGGCAGTGGCTGAATGGTCTATGAGCTTGCCTTAAAACTGGAAGGTCGTGGGTTCGAAACCCGGCGGATGAAACTAGGCTGATGAAACAGCCAACCAGTACACCAGTGTTGGTTTTTCCAATGGTTCTCTAACTGATAATATCAATCCGTAGGGAAAATTGAAAAGAGATAAACTGCTTAGTTAAGTAGTTTTATGTAATCTAAAACAATTAAATCATAAAAATTGCTCAGAAGTGATTACTAATAAACCGTCAAACTCATGTAAACAGGAATCCTGTTCATCAGAGTAAAACTGGCCCTATCCATGTAGGTAGTTACCTTGAGTTCTAGTGGGAAGTCGTGACCAGTAGGATGCATCAGGTCGAGTGTGAGGACAAATAATCGCCAAAGACATTGGCTAGCGGTTGCGCTATGTCGTGAATTGGGAGAAGTTAGAATTCATGGACTGGCCATTGGATCGGTTCCCAGTGGCTTAAATGTCTTCGAAATAGCTCGCCTTGTAACCAGAAGGTCCTGGGTTCGAACACCGGCCGGTGCGAACTGACGAATGGTCCCAAATTAGGACGAAACAGCTGTCCAGTACTCCCAGTGCTGGTTTTCCAATGGTTCTCTAACCAATGTCAGCTCATGATGAAATCCTGCAACCAATCAATCAAATCCCTACAAACCAATACTTAAATTTTTTTAAATTAGCAGTATGAAAAGAGGAGAAAAAATGAGTCGGAATGGAACACATATTGACTCTAAACTATAGCAGATCAAAATGATACTACCTGATAGCGACCTTGACAAATCTTCGTCGACCAATCAGATGTGTCCGAAATGGAAGTGCGTAATTTGAAAAAAAAACACTTTTGTATCAAATTAATGCCATGTTAAAAAGTAGTTATATAGGTTAACTTCCTCGTATATGTTCGAAGGAAACTTTCTAATTTCCCATAAAAGTCCTTATAGTTAGATTAAACCAATTCCTGTGCCAAAATTCGTCGAGTTAACTGTAAATCTTCGTGTTTCTTGACCCAACCGTTCACCGACCTAACCTTCATTTTTAGGTGGCTCTAGAAACTTTCGATGGAACTTATGTGTGTCTCGTCGAAAGGATTAACGAAATCGTCCGTATGATTGCCCACGTTGTGAATAAAGCTCAGAGATAATAGTTGGCCACACGTTTTTTCCCCCTTCCAATGAGCCTGTTGTCTAAGCAATACTTATATTCTAAATTTCGATGAAATCTGCTCCGTAATTTGTGTATGGCATCCATAATTCTGCCTATATATTACAGATTCATCTGATTGGCTGCTCAAAGTCATTAATTCACACATTAGATAGATAGTTTAGATAGTTTCGTTTTGGACTGGTATACACATACCAAAAATTTTTGCACAAGCAGAACATTTTCTGTGCATCGGTGGCACAGTGGTAGAGTGCTCGCCGACCACGCCACAGGTGGTCCGGGATTCGATCCCCGACCGACTTACTCCTTTACCTCGCTAAACCGGCAATAAGACTAGAAAAGAGGGAAGGGTAAGCATGAGGCTAGCAACCCCATCCTGTAAAAGTAATCACCACTTCTACAGAAACTTCAAGCCTCTAGCTTGAAGGCGCCCAATGTTGCACCACTGGGAACGTAAAGGAATAAAAAAGCTTTTGTTATACACAAGGAGAATCTTAAACTGTGTTTAAATAGAAGCGACGTATCCACTCCCTAAGCCTCACCTTTTCTCAATTTTCACGGTAATTCCCCTACCCCTTTGGCCCTCTCAATCACAATACGTTGAATGTTACGAATGTATTCGAGAGCAGTACACAACACCGTAAACGAAATCATGAAAGTAACTGACTATAAATCCAAAATCAACGCAAAATATCACTGAAGAAAACATACCAGCCTATAGGGAGGGTAGGTCATGTGTTGCGCAATCACTTCACCCGAAATGATAAAATCAGAAATTAAACTAAACTCAGAGCTAACTGACATCAATCCGTAATCACAATTGAAAAAACAAACAAATCAACTCCCTAGAAACTAATAAATCACACAGTGTGGATATACAGTAATATTAACTGATGACCACGTTTCGAGCACAATTTATTACTGCTCATAACCATATCAAGGCACTACTCACACAAGTCTCTACTTCAAACCTACAAACTCATTCGGGTAGGAAAAGCTCTGTAGGCTAAAAGACCCGGTGGACCCAATGACTGTGAGTGGGGTCGACTACATACGTTAAACTAGTAGATCAGGAGTAGTGAGATTATCAGAACATAAGAATTTGGTGGCTAAGGTTAGAATGATTGATCCCACGAAGATAAGTAATTTAGAAAAGAGCTCAGCGATTGCACTGCATGCATTAACACACAACCACACATGAGGGTGGGAGTGAGTCAAAATTTTAAAAGATAATATAGATAGGTGGAGAGAGAGACAGGGTGATTACTGAATCCTGGTTCATTGAATAATCTACACTCAACACAACACATGCAACAGAAATGACTCAATGCAAATACCAGAGATATGCATGGAAGATGTTATGACCACCAGTCAGTCAAATCAGAGGAGGATAATAAATAATCTCAAAATTCTATTTTAATTCACGTACATCACAACATTCTAACAAGCTATTTATTTATTTTGACTATAAAAACACTCGTCTTATTTCCCATCTGATTATATTTGATTGATAACACTCATATTATTATTTCTGAATGTACATTATCCTATATTGGTTTTTATTCCAATGTCTAATCATCAGTTTCACTAATATATATAAATGAAGCAAGAAAGTTGTGTGAATAGTGCCTTGATATGATAATGAGTGGCAATAAATTGTTCCCGAAACGTGATCATCAGTTAATATTACTGTATAACACTGCACTGTGATTTATCAAAATAAAATCTTATTCATACTGGAGTTATACTCTACCACCACAGTGCCCAAGTTTTATACTAATACCATACAAACTAACTCTGATACTCGCTATTGACGACACTGCTCAGAGTCCCCGTGAGAAGTCATAACTAGTGGGGTCCAACAGCTTAGACACGAGGACAAATACTCACCAACGATGACACTGACTGGCAGTCGCGCTAAAAACTTATGAGCTAGTGGAAGTTGGTGTTTATAGACTGGGGACTTATCAGTTGGGTTCCAGTGGTTGGAAAGTCCACGAGCTCACTCGCCCAGAGAATGCGTGCCACTGAAGAGTCCTGAACTAGGCGGACGAAACAACTGGCTGTCCAGTACTCTCTGGAGGTTTTCCAATGGTTCTCTAACTGGTATCAAATCGTGATCGAAAAATTTCAAATTTAAATTTTTAATTATATATAGGCAGATTTATTCAGTATCTCTTATAATATATATTTATTTTATCATTATTTCAATGTGTTCTCTCCTTATTTAGGCCTTTAAAATTGATGATTTTACAATTCAAGAAGATCAAGTCAAAGGTAATGCCTTATTTTCGATTTTAAATAATACCCCCTCCTTGTTAGTTTATTTTGTTGATTTAGTTCTTTTTTTGTTTTGTTTTAACCGCCTTCTATGCGTATATTTGTTTAAATTTTACACTCATTTAAACAATTCAAATAGCATCAATTTGTTAAGGCAAAACAAAATGTAGTATTTAAGGGGAGAGACATTTTTGTGTTTATTTTACATTTTGAAATAATGATCTAGTCTGCATTTTTGATCTATTAGTACATTTAATGATGACAGTGATAATAAGAAAGAAGATCTGGATTTCGCGGATGATTTATGACTAGTGTTACACACACAAACTCGAAGACTTGCAGGTGGGCAGGCGAAAACTAAGAAACTGGCTGAAGAAGTAGGCAGGCGGCGAAGACAGGACTGACTCCAGGTGAATATAGAGAAGGTGGAGACCGAGGTGATGAAGATAACCAAACAACCAACAGTAACAGCAACAACAACCAGCACCAATCCCCATCAGCGGGAGAGATTTGACAGAGGTTACTTCCTGGCTTTACTTATCTGGCCAGGAAGATAGCACGGTTTGAACCACAGGCAGGCGGACAGCGCGGATGAAGATGTCAAAGCCAGCCGGTCAGCCAGAATCGGGAAGACAAGATACGCCTTCATCAACCTAAAACCAGTTTGGAAATCTCATACACTTATCATAAGGAACAAGATTTGGATTTTCTACACGAACGTCAAGTTGATCCTTCTATACGGGTCAGAAACTTGCACTGCGTGTCACGAAGAGGATTTCAAACAGGTTTCAGACTTACATCAACAGCTGCCCCCTTCACTGGCTCCATACTTCAGATCAAATGGCTGTCCAGAAAGAGTTAGTAACAAGAAACTTTGCAGTAGAACAAACCCACCAAAAGCCCATCGCTCAACAAATATTTGGGAGGAAATGGAGATGGATAGGGAACACGTTGAGGAGACCGTTGAATGACATCGCACTCCAGGCTATTGCTGGGGTGGAATCTAAATGGGAAGCGACGAGTGGGTCGTCAGTGAGAGGGTGACATGGAGGAGATCGTGTAAGGAGGAGATGAGAGATTGTAGGCAATCATGGACCCAGCTGAATAGGACAGTAGAGAATAGAAGAAAGTGGAAATGTATTGTTGAAGCTCTATATGTTCCACTCGGAACACAAGGGAGCAATAATAATAATATCTTCATTGTAAACTATTCACTGAGGCAAGTTTTTTGACTGGCGCACGTTTCAATGTTGTGCTAGACATCCTTGTCAATGGTATATGTGTTGTAGGTTAAGTTATTTCATTGGACATGAAAACTTATGATGACACGCTACTCCGTCTTAATGCCATCTAACTAATTATGCGATAAGTATATAGGCATAGTAGGTGGTGAGCCAGTCTTCCCCTGAAGCAAATTATAGAAAATTAAAACAAGTGACTCTTTCCAACAACGAATTTGTTATCTAGCTGTACAATCGTATATTTATGGTTTTTCTTAGGAAATTATATCCGGTGAGGGAAAATTAAAATATTCGTGATTATAAGGATGTATAGAACTTGGAAGGGGTGTGCAGTTATAGGATTAGAAGGTAAATAGAAGAAAAATAAAAACATTACACAACATAGTGTGAAATTTGATTACATAGAATTTAACGTATAGACTTATTACGACCATGAAAGTTGGAGGGGTTGAACGAACGTTTTCTGTTTCGATTGCCGAAGATCGCTTCAACAACACATATGAGTCGGATGCGTGGAGGTTTTGGCCAATTACTTTTCGCCTTGTAGACGACTTTAAAGGCAGAGTTTGTAGAGATAGGGTTGTCATTATCGACCAGATGTTCAATGATCGCGCTTCTTATGGCTCCACTTCCATCTCTTGGTAACCACCATTCAGGATAGTGTTCTTGCACTCTCATGGACAAAACTTGAGTCAAACGATCGATATACCTAGCTCCACATGAGCATGTGAATTGATAAACACACATAGAGTTGGTCAACTGCAGGTTCTTGTCCTTCAGGTTATTGGACAGTAATGGTCGACTGAGAGACGCTTTTCTCAACGATTCAGTAGGGAATGTCCTTCTCAGGAACTGTGAGATCCTTCCTTCGGAAGTTCTTCCTCCTTACCTCCTAGCACTCGATCGAGGCTTACCTCAATATTGCTCACCACCTGACACGGGAGACAGAACGCAGACAGGCACCTATGATCAAAGACAGCTAGCCTTTTCACATGTTCCACTTTCAATAGCCATGTCTCACTCACAGCCATAAATGAGAACAGAGAGAACTGGTGAATAGTATTCCCGGCCTTATTGGTCGACAGCCAGACATCACGTCTACTATGCCAGAGAAGGAGTAAGTCGGCAGGTAAATGCCGAACGAGCCTATCCGTATCCGTAGAAGGATACACATTTTACACTACTCTGTTATATATGATGAAGCAAATCAGACTTATCTACTCTAAAAATAGCTTTTTTTTTTGATTAATTTTCCCTACTTATTTACTTACTTCCTTTGTCTTTGTAATTTCAGTTGCTAAAGATGTTTTCAAACGTTTCGATAAAAGAGGACAAGAGAAAATCAGCACTACTGATCTGGGTCCAGCTTTTCGTGCACTTAACTTGACAGTTAAACCAGATACCTTAAAAGAATGGGCTGATCAAGTTGATGATGATGGTAAGAATTTTTTTCAAAGAGATATCATTGTTCAATGTTCACTTTCAATGATTATGTCATAGGATGTGTTTGTTTTGTGTGTGTGTTAATTATTGGCGGTTTCTTTGAATGAGCCCCTCGACTTCTTCTTCTTCTTCCGATATTCGTCGTTCGGCGAGCGTCCTAACCGCTATCCCACTGACGAACTGAGTGACTTTCAACTACTTATACCAACCAAGAAGTAGTATATACCGTCATGGTAGTTGTTAAAATCTAGTTACACAGAAGAACTTAAACTGTGCTTGCTACATGCATATAAATCTCGATATGCCCAAACAGTGGCACAGATTCCTGGTGTTTTCATATTTCTCTAAGCTGAGTGGTTTAACTGCGAAGCTTTCATTGTCCTCGGAAGGCGTCATATTCAACGCTTCAACTTAACAATGTGAAAGCTTCGCAATTAAACCATCATCTACCTGACCAGAGCTTTTATCGGTTTGAAGATAGTGGTACAAACTACTGTCGTTAACAAATTTCCAGCTGCCTGATAGATTTTATTTATGTGTTTTTTAACACAAAAACTGTACCTTTTTAAAAAAAAAAGGATGCGTGTACTTTAAGTTATAAACTAAATCAATGTGATAACTACTTTTCACAACATTATCAGTAAACAGAAGAAAATGTCAACTTAGTAAAATATGTGGAAATTGTGTATCTTGCCTACATTATTGATTTTAACCATCTTTCTTTTTTATCCTTTCTTCTGATTGGCTGTTAGTGCTAATGGATAGCACATACCAATACGTATGACCGTCTTAAGTGAACCAATCAAAAAATAGTATCGATTATTCAGTCAGACCAAAAAATTAGTTGATCTTCTTCACCTTAAAATAGTAGTTACTGGGTTGTTGAAAAAATAGGTAATTTAAAACACTGTTGTGGTCATTTTACGAAAAGTGCCAATGGGATAAAAATATTTATGCACATGAAGAACTTGAATGTGTAGTCAATAAACAATAAAACTAGGATATCTGGCTTTCGTCTCTTACAGCACTCATCAGCCAAATCCACTATGAAGTACCTTTCAAATTTTTCCAGTTGAAAACTAAACTTCACTAAGATAAAACATCAATTGTTGAAAATATGAATTTGGCTCCAAGATAAGTCAGTACAGCAACAGTCCCAAAGAAGTCCTTTTCGATAAAACTGCAATTTCTAGGTGATAACATCAGCTAAATAGTAACAAAGGGTTTGAGGAACGCAGTTAAATTGGCGTTCAGTATAGCAGAAGTACGCCATCTGTTCACAACCACTCCAATTTTACGTTCGATAAACAAGAATAAACTACTTAATTTCTCCTCTTCAATGCTTATCTATCAGTGTGACTGTTCCTGTGGAGCTAGTTACATTGGGTGTAAAACTAAGCAGGTTTTACATCGGGTTTTCGAATATCATCCTGCATGATTAAGCAATGGATAAACTAGATCTATTCGTAGCTCTCTTTAGCATATCTTGTAGATAGTGGGCTTGAAGATGATGTTAATACAGCATTTAAAATTATTTATCACATTCCCACTAATCTTAATTTTGCTTTACGAATCCGTCTTCTACGTACAACTGAATCCAATGGAATCCATTTGAAGAGGCCAGACCATTTACAGCCACTCTCCATACCTTGGCCATTGTTACGTGAGTGCGAAAAGCTTGCAATTTCCCTTCCTCTAGGCTATCTTCAAGTTACAATTGTCATAATTTTCAAGAGTTGGTTTGTAGGGATTTAATTTGTTGTTTTTTTCAACTTCGACCACTGATTGGTATCAGCAGAGAACCACTGAGAACCAGTTAGTACTGGACAGCTGAGTTCGAAACCCGTTGGATGCATACTGTCGATGAGACCCAAACTAGGATCAAACAGCTGTCCTGTACTCCCTACTGGTTTACAATAGTTCTTTAAATGATATCAATCCATGGGTAAACTTGGAAAACAAATCAAGTCTCTAAAACCCAAGTCATGCGAATTAATCTGTTGACTGTCACAAGACGGAGTTTCCTGGAGTCCTAATGGGTCGAGTCCCACTGGCTGAATGGTCTACGAGCTAGCTTGCCTTGTAATCGGAAGGTCCTGGGTTCAAACCCTTTTGGTGGATGCATGCTACCGACGAGTCCCAAACTAGCACTCCTCGGTTGTCAATGTTTCTCTAACTGATTTCAATCCGTGATCTAAATTGTCTTAATTAATTCACTATTGTGACTACTTTACATCTGACTACTTATTACATAATCAGTTTGGGCACTTATTTATTTCTTGATTGCTCCTTAATTTTTGGAAAAATTATGCATTATGCAATTCACTCCTTTTATTTTGTTTTTCCAATTACTTCTACCTCCTGACTGTTTGTTTTAATTGTCTTGGATAATGACCACCCCCTTAACATTTTGATACTGACTAATTATCGTTAACAATCTTAACACTACTAGAATGGTAAATTTCCTTTATCGTGTTTAAAAGGCTAGTTTAGAGAGACAAATGAAGATCTACATGAGAAGTATGTACTTCTTCACTCAATCCTTTTGTCGACGAAGTTAAAGTATCATAGGCAAAGTCAAGGTCTTTGAAAAATTGACCTTGAAGAGCCAATTAGACTCAGGGAATGCTATGAAATGTCATTCCAAATCAAATCATGTCTGCCCTTTTGGACTTGGAGAGGACAGATACAGTATTCTACTGATTTACTAGATACATTTTCTGCAAATCTATACTGTTTGGTACGGTTAAGACTGATAAGATTAAGGTTTCGGCTCGGTGTAGTGGCTGTGCAGCCTTTCAGCCGTATCTGTGTAAACAGGTGCTGACGGAGATGGGTAAACTTGTCTTGCCCGCTATCTGTTGGCATGCTTCCGGATGCCTTTAACCGGGTGTCGGGAGCGGATGGCATCTTTACTTTGAACAAATTTGAGTGCTCAAGGCAGGCTTTTGTGCCTAGAAATGCTTGCATGGAATAATGAAATAGGACTTCGGATCCGAAGTAATGGTTAAGAGGGACAGACGGGGGAATTTGTATGGCCGTGTTAGAGGTGAAATTCCGGGATCACCGCCAGACAAACTACAGCGAAAGCATTTGCCAAGAATGTTTTCATTGATCACGAGAGAAAATCAGAGTTTCGAAGACGATCAGATACCGTCGTAGTTCTGACCATAAACGATGCCAACTGACGATCCGCGATGGTCCTATAATTGACATTGCAGGCAGTCCCTGGGAAACCTTTAAGTCTTTGGGCTCCGGGGGAAGTATAGTTGCCAAGCTGAAACCTAAAGGTTTAATTCGACTCAACACGGGAAAACTTACCCGGCCCGGACACTGTGAGGATTGAAAGCTCTTTCTTGATTCGGTCGATGGTGGTGCATGGCCGTTCTTAGTTGGTGGAGCGAGTTGTCTAGTTAATTCCGATAACGAACGAGACTTTAACCTACTAAATAGTAGATTGGTCCTCTGTGCTCATTCAGGGCGCGGCTTCTATTGTTTCTTTATGGAGTAGTGTGGTCGTGATCCGGCGAGTACGGTGCCAGTTTCTACTTCTAAGAGTTGGAGTTAGGAGTAGGTTGAAGAACAGTGTCAGAAAATGCCGATAGATCTCAAACTGCCATGACCTACAGCCAACTGGATGAATGTATATATCGCGAATGGTACGATCCCTCTATAGATCATCTGCGTAGTAACTGAAAGATATTCTTACAACAAATAAGCAACAACTATGCCGTGTAATGCCATGTTTGCAATAAATTTTTTAGTGTAATTTTCAACGATCATGTGACTTTTTTGCAATCTGGATTCTGATTGGTCGTTCAAGGTCAATGTAGTTTTAACCATGATAGTTTAACTTCGTCCTTTTGTCGTCTAAGCGTATAAATATCGATTTTTTTTCTCCTATGCAATTTCACATAGTCTATTCAGTTTTCAATTTCCTTTACTTTTTTATTTAAACAACTACAACAACTAATTTCAGCTACCGGATTCATTGACTTCAATGGATTTTTGATATGTTATGGAAAGAAACTTCAAGAAGATCAAGATGAAAGAGATTTGAGAGATGCCTTCCGAGTGTTGGATAAAAATAAACGTGGTGAGATCGATGTTGAAGATTTAAGGTAAGTGTTCTTATTACTTTGTTTTCTTTTAAATCATTCCCCGTTTTATCTCTGAAGTTGTTGGCTATTGGTTTAAACAACGAGGTAGTGTTCCACCCCCACCCCCGTAGTCGCGTTGAAATAGATGAATAATTCGACACACACACACTCTCTCTCGAAAGGATTCGTTGTCGATTGCTTCCAATGATCTAATATCAATTCAGAAAGCACTAAGATGGCAAATCTCGCAGCTGGGTGACCATACCTGTTGTATACCGTTTCTTCGACAGAAATCCTGAAATATTTGCCATGTGAACTGACTGCCATTGTTAGATACAATGGTCTCCTGAATGCTTGAATAAGCACCCGCTAGAACCAAATAATTAACTGTAATAACCGGCCTTGCGAAGTCTAAATGTAGTCGGGATCATGGCTGTGCTGTCGGCCGTGGTTTCGGTTTTTCTCGTTGTGGGTTTTTGACAGCAGCTTGACATGACCGGCACTGGTTAACAAATTCTGTTATGTCAGCATCCATACATGGCCAGCAAGCATGACTTCTGGAAATAGACTTCATGCGCACAATTCCTGGTTGCCCATTATGAAGCTGTTTCAACACGGTTTGTTGCAAGATGTCAGTTGTCACCACTCGTTCACCAAACATTAGGCAGTCACTAATGATACTGAGACCATGACGCAATCGGAGTAGTTCTCTGAGGTCATGTTTTGAGACAGATGCTAGCCTTATTTGCTCTGCTGTAATCGGCAGATGCTCAACAAATTCTAGGTGCAATTTTCTGTCTTTAGGGAGGAAACAACTGTCTCATCGTTTGAGGAAGGATAGTAGCCTATTAGTCCTGAGAGAGCATCTTCATGCCTAAAATCTTGCATGCAACAATATTTTCTATGGAAGTCGTATCCCAGTAGTGTCACTGCCTACCATTGTAGTCTGTTCGTTGAATGAACTGGAATACCATTCCCCAAACCAAATAGAGAAAGAAGAGGCTTGTGGTATGTCAATAAGGTTAATCTCCCGACGTATAGCATCTTTTTAAGCCTTCGCACCGCGTAGACTAAGGCAAAAGCCTCCTTTTCTACTTGTGAGTAACTCCTTTCTGTTGTAAAGACTGAGCCTGAGATGTGACTGACAGCCTTTTGACTTCCATCAGGATATTCATGCAGTGGAACGACACCAACTGCTGTTACTGAAGCATCTGCTGAGTCTATGATGAGTAGTTTAGGATTCGAGGATACTCTTAAATCGCTGAACGGCTTCATCTCACTCTTTGAACCAGACCCAAGGATGATCTTCATGTAACAAGCGGTCCAGTAGTTCACTGACTGTATGCAGAGTTGATAGAAAAGTTGAATAATAACTAATCTTACGCAGGAAAGAACAAAGCGTTGGTACCTCTTTCCGTACAGGTATCTGTTGAATAGCTTTTATGTTCTCGTGGTCAGGTCGTCGTCCATCAGCTCCAAAATTACAAACCCCAGATACTTGACAGTCTGTAGGTTGAATAGGCATTTTTCTGCTTTCAAACGTAATCCATTATCAACCATTTTCTGGAGTACAGCTAGTATTCCCTCTCTTAATTCCGGGGAGGAAGCTGAAACGATCAGTATTTCGTCCAAATAAGCAACAACACCTCGAATACCAGCTTTGATAGTATCAATTAGTTGCTGGAAGATGGCTGGGGAGGTCTTAATACCGAACGGTAGCCTGTTGTGTTGAAATAATCCTCAACGGGTGTTGATCGTTGACAACTGATGGCACTCCTCTGGAGCTTCGACCTGAAGGTATCCGTCAGCCAAATCAATTTTGGCGAAAACTCTATCACCATTCAGAGTACTGAACAAATCATCTGGAATGGACAGTAGATAATGATGGTCTTCTAACACTGCATTTAGTCCTGTCGAGAAATCAGCATAAATATGACTCATCGGCACCCACCCCATTTGGGACCAAACCCAACGCCTTCAGGTTGCAAGGCAAACGAGCTCATACACCGTCAAGCCACTGGTGACCAATCTGATGGCCCCTGAATTCCAACTTCTACCAATTCATGATACTGCATCACTGGCTCTAGTCAACTTCATTGCTGGGGAGAACTTATCCTCTGCTTGTAACCAGGAGGTGCTGGGTTGGAACCCTGACGGTGGGTGTGTACTGACGATGAGTGCCAAAAAGGACGAAGCAGCTGACTGTCTAGCATTCACTGCTGATTTCCATTGGTTCTGTGACTGAGGTCAGCTTATGATGAAATCCCGAAACCAGTCGAATCCCTGCAAACCCACACTTGAAAATAATTTTCTCACAACCAGCAAATATTTCTTTATTTATTTTTTTTTATTTTGGTTACTGCTTGATGCCACACCGTATTTTCAGTACAAGTATGGAATTTTCAGCACGGATATCGGTAGCCCAAATTTTACAGGCCGACCATAGATATCGGGTGTGCGTCGGCAGGGGATCGAACCTCGGACCATGTGCATGGTCGGCGAGAGTCCTAACCACTGTGCCACCGACGCACATAATAAAGGAAAAAGTTACTGATCAGAGTGGATATGTGTGGGTAGAGACTCAACCTAAAATAAGTCAGATTTCAGTAAACAAATGCCAGACTGTGCATCTTTCTTATTTAAATGCATTCATATTACTGATGATTTTTTCCCCTTGTGGAACTGACACAATAATTCAAGACTATCCTGCCTTACTATCAGTACTATCTGTTGAACAACATGATAGCTGTTCGACTTTTACTCAAACGATCTCAACAACAATGTAACATGAAGTGAAAAATCTTTAAAAAAACTAGATCAGTCCAATCTACTCCAATTATTTAATCTCATTATTTTGGCTATATTCTTTAGACTACTCATAAGTAGCTTCTGGTAAAAAGCTAAAAATTGGTCTGCATATTTGATTTTTAGATGGATTTTGAAAGGTCTTGGAGACGATCTTACTGAAGAGGAAATCGATGATATGATCAGAGATACTGACACTGATGGGTCTGGCTTCGTCGACTTCGATGGTAAGTTTGGAGTGAATAGAGGGAGTTTTTATGTGTAACTGAATGCATTATGAATACAACCAGTAATGATCGTAAAAACTCGACGTGATAAGTAACAGAATTCATTCCTCAACGACTTATGATAATATTTGTCTAAGAGTTTATTGACAATTTCGCCTATTTCTGACCTTCTGAACAACATGCTAATCTTTGTGATCATAAAAATTAGGTCAAGGGGTCAGCTAAGCATACTTCATCTTTAGTGAACAGAAACCACAAAAATTTCTCGGTCCATTTTATGCATAATATTATTAATAAAAATAATAGTCTGCTTTATTCCAAAAACGACAGTACTTATAATACAGAATGGGATTCTCAGCATTTGTTACAATAGTGCATCTAACTTACTCAAAACATCGTCAATAAAAGTAACCACAGGAATTTTTCCACATTGACAGTAGGAATAATTTCAAAATTGTGCAAAATATAAAATGAGAATAACTGAAATAATAATAATAATAATAACAGTGAGTTCGTTTCAAACAGTACTGTTCATACAGTTTGAAAATTTTAGCATGTTATAGAGTATTGAATTTAATGTTCTCTTGACATACCATGGTGAAAGGAAAAACAAAAAATAACAATTATTACAGAGCTTAAATGATGTTTACTCTTTCAAATAATAGAGCAGATTTGTAGTTCAGATGGACGATTTGCAATTAATAGTGTACTCTGAGCTGGTTGGTTTAGTTGTAGAGCTTTCGTCGCCCACTCCTTCTGGACAATATCCCCCTTCAGTGCAATTTTTAGCATAAAGTGAACTGATTTAAATTTCTTCATGAGTGATATAATTGAGTCTCCCGGTAACCATCTTTACATATGTATTGACTATTTTCTATTGACTTGGATTTTAAACTTTCTGGTCACATGATTTACTTTTTGTTACCTGGCTGGTATATTTGGTCTATATTAACGCGTTTGTTAATTGCATTCTCGTTTGAGTACCAGGCTTCTAGGAATTCCCTGACTTCACTTTTGGTGTTTCGTCTGTCTAAGATTTTGACATTATCCCAATCAAAGTGATGTCTATAATTGTCTATGTGCATTGATACTGAAGAATATATATCGTGTCTTTTCACGGCTGATTTATGTTCTTGGATTCTAATTCGAAGGGGACGCCCACTTTGGCCGATGTAATGCTACAAAATAAATTGTATGATAATAGCAATAAAGCCAGTGGTAGTACTGAATACCCCAGTCAACAGAAACCATTGTACTTTGCTTGAAACAACTGGAACTCTGTTTACAAACAAAATAGGTCCACTCATCAGCCATTACTACCAAAGTCTGCTGTAGAACCTATAAAATCTTAATTTTCCCGTTATTCAGTTCAGTGTTATATCGATGCATATTATCATTTACAGAGGCAAAAGAAAATTTGAGCAAAGAATATTCCGTTTCGATAATTCCCTCTTCTGGCTCTACAATTATATTTACATAAATCTATATACATAGAATATTCTAGAATAATCGTCATTAATAATATTGTATAAATAAATTGGGTCAAATCTTAAAAGGTGAAGTGGAACGATAATCAGAGTTTAAATAAATATTATAAAAGTACAAAGGAGGTGGAAAATAAGTAAGGGTGGGAGGGTTTTGAATACAATTCACCTAGGCCAAGGGAGAGACAAAGGTAGAACAAACTCCTTTTGTATGCAAAGACTAGGATTGTTGGTGTTTTGTTTAAATACTAGCGATCTGTTAAGATCACAATGGAATTACCACAGTTTAAGAAAGATCATGCATAAGATAAAATAAGCATAAAAATGTAATGGTAAATAGAATATCAAATAAAATTAATGAAATCTCAACAACAAATTGAGGGGCATTCAAGCCTCGATGAACATGGGGGGGGGGTAAGGAAAGCGTCTGAACCAACTTCTTTTGGTTACATAGATTTGGCTTCTTAGTTTAAGTGGATTCCAATATACAGCCTCAGCAATATGTTGTAGACGAACTCTTAAGGTAAAATTAAGATTAGTCATAGGATTTTCATCATGAGCTGACATTAGTTAGAGAACCATTGGAAAAACCAGCTGGGAGTACTGGACAGCTGTTTCGTCCTAGTTTGGGACTCTTCATCAGTACGCACCCACCGCCACTGGCTTAATGGTATACGAGCTCACCTTGTAACCAGAAGGTCCTGGGCTCGAATATTGGTGGCTGCGTACTGATGAAGAGTCCCAAACTATGACGAAGCAGCTGTCCAGTACTCACAGGTTTTCCAATGCTTCTCTAACTAATGTCAGCTCATGATGAAAATCCTGTGACCAATCAAATCCCTCCAAACCAACACTTGAGAATTATGATTAATTGGTTGGCGGTAGATAACTTTGAAAGCCACCTTGTTGTTTACATCAATCTTGTGTTCTGTATCTATGAGATGAGATAGAATGCGGCTATGCATGGATTTTGTTTGTCCCTTACTTAACCACTATGCAGGATGGTGTATGGAAATCTGACGATAAACACGCCTCATTGAACAACCTATGAAACTAACTGACTCACTCCACAGGAGCGGTCACAATATGATAGATACACATAGAAGAGACAAAATTAGGTATTTTACCTTTAACGACTCCTGAAAGCGAAATGGGGGGATGGTTTTGAAGACACAGCATACTTCAAGATTACTGAATGCTCATTTAACCGCCGTATTCCTTAGGTGTTGTGTAAATATCTCACTGATGTTATCCGCGAGGCGGTGAAGTTGTAAGAATAAGGCCTTCCTTTTCCGGAACTGGTGACTGGTACTTTGGTCTGCCCTGACTTCTGATTCATATTCTTATCGACGAATTTTTCTGGGTAACCGTTCTCACTCAGAAAAGGCCTCTGAACTGTAATCTGTCGACATTATCGATTCAGTGTCATTGTTCAAAAATTAATGTCGTTAATAACAATAATTTCTTTCAAGTACTGGTTTGTATGGATTTGATTGGTTACAGGACTTCATCATGAGATGACATCCAATCGTTTCCCAGTGGCTGATTGATCTACGCGCTAGTTCACCTTTTAACTAGAAGGTCCTGGGTACGGAACCCAGTGGGTGCGTACTGTTGAGGAGTCCCAAATTAGCCTGACGAAACGCCTGGTTATCCAGTACTCCAGTGCTGGTTTTCCAATGGCTCAGATGAAATCCTGTAACCAATAATTTTTTTCTAATTATTATCGACAAATAACTGTACAGTCTGATGATTAAGAAGTTATCGAAAAGAATATTCTTTCTTCATTATTCCCAATCTTTTACAAATATTTTTTTTCTATAACTATTATTTTTATTTTATTTTATTTTAGAATTCTACAAACTGATGACATCTGAATAAACTGAATTCAATCTTTTTGTAACATATTCTACAAAATGCATGCCGCTATAGCAAGCAAGCAACTTACTTCAACAGCGATAATACCAATCATCACATACCAAAATCCTTTTCCTGTTGAACAGTCAGTATGATTAGTTTAATTTAAATCGGATTGTATCATTATCACGTGATTTATTGATCGATTGGTTGATTGTCTGCCTGCCTGCCTGCCTGCTTGACTGATTGACTGACTGACTGACTGACTGTGCTTAATCATGCCCAATTTAATAATACTTCCTACCCTATTTAATCTAGTAATATCGATCACATGTTTTTAAATGTAGTTATTTATAATAATATAATGAATGATTGTGTGTATGTGTGCGTACGTGCGTGCGTGTGAGTGTATTTTCTCCTTGAATTGTTTAGCCATATTTATATTATTACTTCTGTCCTATTTTGCTTGAATTGTTAACACTTTCTGTAAGAAGGTGACTGACCAACTGACCCCTATTCACATTGTATTCTTTCAACGATTCATTTATCATCACTTCTGTATTATTTATTACCAACATGGATGGTTAATAAAGATTCCTTTACAACACTACGTTAAATGGCCTTTTTTTTAGCGACTAGATTGAATGCTGTTAGTTATGCCGATGGGACATAAATATCATTATATTTTGATGTGGCCGGGTTCTCTGAGCTAGGCGAGGATTTATTTGTGAAGCTTTCATTATACTGCTACACGACATCTTCAGCGCTTAAGGGTAACGTGCATTCGCAAGTGATATCCCCCAATTGTAAGGATTACGTTTATCCTGAAAGTAAATCGTACAGTTAGAATTCAATTGGTGGATGGTGACTAGCAGTGGAATCCACCAGGATAAAGTGCATTTCGTCCTATTTGGGACTCGTCATCTGGATGTACCTGCATTCCCTAGTCAGTGAGTGATGATGTTCCCACCACTGAGGCTCGAACCCAGTGACCATAGTTTCAAACGCCAAAGTGTTATCCACTACACCACTTGGGCCACGAGAGCCACTCCACCTCTTGTTCAACGGGTCATATTAATTATTGAATTGAATTTTAGATTTTCCCGTCAACTGATTGATTGATTGGACCGAAGTGCTCTGTCTCAGGTTGACATGGTCACTCACTGGGGAATGCAGGTACATCCAGTTGACGAGTCAGTCCCAAAGGGGACGAAATGCGCTTTATCCTGGATTTGACTGCTAATCACTATCCATTACATGCCCAGACATCGTCGAAACTTCTTCACAAGAAGTCGACATATCACTAAATCGACGGGAAAATCTAAAATTCAAATAATTAGATTGTACAGTAACTACAAGAACATACGGCTTGAAGCTTCAGCTTCGAATTTTCGGTAGCATTGGTTTTATTTTTAATGAGTGGGGTTTCTAGCCTCACGCCTAACCTTATCTCTCTATACCAGGCTTACTGCCGAGTAAGCAGCGAGGTTTAGGAATGCGTCGTCGACCGGGCCTAGAACTCCGGACCACATGCGTGGTTGGTTACAGTATAATTCAGGTCATCAAGAAGCTCTCGAAAATGAAAACTGTCTATTCAAGGTGTATTCCGACTCCCGAAGAATGTTGGAGATTGACGATTCCCAGGAATTAGCTAACAGAACATGCTCCATTGGGATCCGGATAGTTTGGTAGCGTTTCTAGGAGTCAGTAATGTCTACTTGAAAAAGAAGGTTGATTCTAACATTGAAAACACGACTCTCCCGCTTCTAAAGTAGATTACAATTTAGACGACATTGGTTAGAGAACCACTGAAAACCAAATAGTTGTTTTATCCTGGTGTGAGACTCCTCAACAACACTTACTCACGATCCCATGGAGAGAAGAACTTGAGACATTCAGGTTACGGGGTTAGCCCATTGACCATTTAGCTGCTGGAACTGAAACAAATACAAAAATAAATATTCTTCCATCTGCATAACGATAAAATATTATGGCGTGTGTCGCTGATAAGATTTATTAGTAGTATATAAACAGACGTTCATTGCAGCACTAAAATATCAAATAGTAGAGGGAGATAGAGAGAGATTTGAAGCCAAAGAGATCAAATGATTCACCGTTTCGGAACAAAAAGGCAGACACGAAAGGAGGCCAAAGAAACACACACAATACGAAGGAGGTGCAGAGGTAGCACAACGCGGAATACCTGTGAAAATGACGATCTCTGGAGAAAAGGTGGACACAGTGGTTAGGACTCTCGCCGACCATGCAAATGGTCTGGGGTTCGATCACCTGCCCACGCATACCTGATATCAATGGTCGGCCTGCGAAATTTGGGCTACCGATATCGCATGCACAAAATTCCATACTTGTATTAAAAATACGGTGTGGTTTCAAGCTATAACCAAAAAAATTAATTAATTAAAAAAAACTAAAAAAAAACTTGGATTTATAGAGATGCCAAATATCAAAGAAACATTCCTTAACCAAGTTTCTTGTCTTCTACCGTTACCCTACTATCAATCACTCACCTTTTTTAAAGTACATTTCCGTAACAAACACATTCACATTTATGTGAATACTAATCGCACTGAGTAAATAGAAAAGCCAGTCAATTAATTGCATACAATATGTGAAATATGTGGCCGTTATCGTTTGGATGATTTATGCAGTAAAATCATTGAATGAATCAGGTTTAAGACTAGGGGAAAGGCAACTGGCATATTCACGAAGTGAAAGTGATTTTCACCACTTACTGTTTAGTGTATATCAAGTTTTGAATAAAGATGGTCTCCTCTGAGTGTAACACTGAATGGCAGTCTCAGTAATCGTCTCAGTATATTTCCAATTAGTTGAAACTGTAAACTCATTAGCTATTCAGCACCTGAACTGACTGCACAACTGAACAAATGCATAATAAGTCAGTAGAAATTGGGTTCGCAGTAATAGAAATGCTGTAAATGTAAATTTTAAATTTGATAGATCACTCTACAGACAAGTAGAGACAGACACGTAAGTGGCAATGACGTGACATCTACGTTTGGTTTGTAAGGATTAGATTTGTTGATACGAGTTTCCCCGCGGATTGATATCAGTTAAAGAACCATTGAAAACCAGCCAAGGAGTACTGCCATGCAGCTGTTTCAGCAGCCTAGTTTGAGAATCATGGACAGTACGCATCCACCCCACTTCCAGGGTTCGAACCCAGGAGCTTCCGGCTACAAGGAAGGCTCGTAGAAGTTAGAATTCATGGTCCGTTGAATCGGATCCCAGTGACTGAGCCAGCTTGCCTTGTAACTGGAATGTCCTGGGTTCTAACCCGGGCAGTGGGTGCGTACTGCCGATGATTCTCAAGCTAGGATGAAAAAGTTGTCCAGTACTCCAATATTGGTTTTCAATGGTTCTCTAACCGATACCAATCCGTGATCAACTCGTAAAAATAACATTATTATTACTATTTTAAATTTTATGTATGTACATATTTATAAAAGGAGCTAAATTGTTGCAATATGTATAAAAACGCTGAAAATTCCATTCTGTACGATTATTACTGTTGTTTGAAATTAAGTGGTTATTATTATATTTATCATTATTATTGGATCGCCAGGATGTCACTCACTTATGTGAAGTGGATAAGTTTTCCTCACTGTCAACTTGGTTAACACCATTATCTATTCTTTAAGCCAACTTGAAGTCAGTTGGTAGTTGGTGACTAGCAGTGGAATCCAGGATAAAGCGCATTACGTCCTATTTGGGACTGGCTAGTCATCCCCAGAAAGTGATGGTGCTGCCCCCGAGGCTCCAGCCCAGTGCTCATAATTTCAAACGCCAAAGCGTTATCCACTAGACCACTTGGGCCACAACATCCACCTCTTGTGCAAGGGGCTGAAGCCTTGGTGGAGACACCAACCCTCACTCACTTGGGAATGCAGGTGCATCCAGATGACGAGTCCTTAATGGGACGAAATACGCATCCTGGATTCCACTGCTAGTCACCATCCACCACCAATTGGCTTCAAGTTACATGACCACACATCATGGAAGCATCTGTACAAGGAGTAATCGATATGTCAACCTGAAACCTAGCACCTCAGTCCAATCAATCGACAGGAAAATCTCAATCGAATTAAATAATTTAAGCCAAGACCTATGCAAGAACTGGTGTGGAATAATGCTCTCATCCACGCCAAGTAAAACACTAAGTCACATCATCCTGGAGAGAACAAAGGATGAGCTGGATGCAGAACTCCGCAAGCTCGCCGGAACAACCTGGATTCAGGAAAGGCAAGTCATGTGCTGATCAAGTTGCAACTCCACATATCGTCATCAAACAAAGTATAGAATGACAGTCAAACCTCTACCTCAACTTCCTTCATCGACTTCGAAAAGGACTTCGACAGACAGCGTAGACCGAGAAGTAATTGGAAAACTACTTCACCACTACGGCGTACCTCGAGTCTTTGTCAACCTCAATCAACAGTTGGCTATATGACAATGCCTGTCAAGTGTCAAGTGATCCACAACGGAGAACTCAGCAAGGCGTTCGAAATGCATACAGGAGTAAGACAAGCTGACAAACTGCCTATTATCACCAATGATATTCTTAACTGTGGTGGACTAACTGGATTATGCGTCAGATTGTGCGCTGGGAGCGAGGAGTCAGGAATACGCCGGACGACCGACAAGAAGATTCTAGAAGATCTGGATTTCTCAGGTGATATAAGTTTAATGTCACACAAACCTGAAGACTCGCAAGCGAAAACTACCAAACTGACTGAAGAGACAGCGAAGACAGAACTGCAGGTGAACACAGAGAAGACGGATGTGATGAAGATAACCAATCAACAGCAACAAAACCCAGCACCAATCACCATCAGTGAGAGAGATTTGAAAGAGATTACTTCCTGGTTTCACTTATTTGCGAAGCATTGTTTCAACTACAGGCAGTCGGAACGGATGAAGATGTCAAAGCTAAGCAGAATCAGAAAGGCAAGATACACCTTCATCAACTTAATTAAATTAAATACCTAGGCGTCATTCTATCTGCTGACCTCTCCTGGTCGTCTCATATCTTGGCGATTTCTAAGAAAATATTCCGTCTTACCTTCTACATCAAGAAGTTAACACATTCTGGTATAACCCAACCCTTACTCCTACAATTCGTTAACTCTCGCATTCTGCCTATTATTCTCTATTGTTCCCCCTTAGTTTTTCCTGGGTCACTGAAGAAAGACTATAACATATTACGCAGGATGTTAAAGGTTGTCAGCAGAGTAAGCAACGTCCCACTTAACCAGCTTGCTAACACTCTGGTTGACAGGCATCTGGACTCATGTGAAAATGGGCTAAATCCATTCTATCTAACTCAAACCACCCTCTTCACTCACAACTCTCCACTTGCATGTCATCAGGCAAAACCAGAAGCCTATACAGAAAACTATATGCTCACACCAGCAAGTACAAAAACTCAACCATACCCTACTTAGCTTGTGTTCTGTGCGATAAAGAAAGCATTAGGCGTGATACCTATAACTTATTAAATAGTCAGTAGAACAACTGGATCTCGTCTTTCCAACTCACATCACTTATAGGTACAACGTTTTCTTTCTTTCTTTTCCTTTTCTCTCTCTCTCTTTTTTCTGTTATGTGCTGCTTTGTTTCTTTCTTTCGCTTACG